GCCCTCCCCCGCCGCTGAGTCCCCGCGCCCCGGAGGGATGGGGCGGACGGCCCCGGCCGCCTAAGATGCCGGCCATGCGGGGACTCCTGGCGCCGCAGAACACCTTTCTGGACACCATCGCCACGCGCTTCGACGGCACGCGTGAGTCAGGCCCTGCCCCCTAACTCCCCGAGGAGAGCTCTCCTGCCGGGGCCCCGTCGGTCGCGAACCCACACTTGTCGGTGAACCCGTTGGTTCTCACGTTTGGCCCCTCAGAAGTTGGGGCCATCCGTTCCTTCCAGGCGCCGCCGCCTTTCTTCCGAAGGGCTCGGCAAAGTGGCAGGGCTGGAAGATGTCCCTGGGTGTGGGGCCTATTCTTGGGGCGCGAACCTAGACTTAGTCTGTCTGACCCATCCTATCCTGGCATCTGGCTCTGTTGCAAGGACTACCCTGGGACTGCAGGGGTGCTGGGTGCGGCGAGGCCCCAGAGTCTGCTGCCTGTCAGCCAGGAAGGGCTCCAAAGACAGATTTGGAGAAGAGGTTTGCAGAGGGAGACAGAGTAGGTGGGACTCAGGAAAGTACCAGTGTCCAAGCCCATCTACAGCCTAAACCCACCCACCTTGGGGAGCCCGTCCAGACCCAAAGAAAATGGGCTTGGAGACTCCCAGCAGACTGGGGAAGTTTGGAGGAGGCCACCTGAGCTTCTGCATCCTGGGTTACCAGGGCTCTGAGCTCAGGGAAGCAGGAAAACCAGATCCTCCTCCTCCTCATCCTCCTCCTTTCCCTCCTCTTCCACCTCCTCCTCCCACACTCACCCCCAGTGGGGCTGCCCAGCTCTCTGCCTAGCATGCTCCGTGGTCTCCGGCTCTGGATAAGGTGTGGGAACCCGTCACTGGGCTCTCCCCGCTCCAGGCTCCTCCATCTGCTTTGCCAGGGTGCTTGGCTCTGGCAGCCTGCTGATTCAGTGCCCCCCACTCCCCAGTACAAGCCTGGCTTCAGGCTCTGGTGTTCAGCCTCCATTCTTGCACCCCCATTCTTGATCACATTTGCTAAGTCCTGAGCCAAGTCAGGCAGCTAGGGCTGGAGCTCAGAGGGCAAGATTGACAGTGACCTGGGTTGCCTCCTACTCCAGGTCAGTTCCAGGAGGAGGAACCAGCCAGCCAGCTGGGTTATCTGACTGGTGGGTGAACCTGGCAGAAGTAGCACTGCTGCTGAGGCCAGCCTACAGCAGGCAATGCAGTCCTTTGGACACCCTCAACCCCACCCCTTACCCCAAGCTGCTCAGAACAGACCCCAGAGGGCAGCTTGCTATTCACATGTGCTGGTTCGAGAATGCACTCATACACATGCAGCTAGCAGCGGGCCCTTACAGGGCACTGACACAGGTGACACGCTGAGTCCCATTTGTAAATAGCTCCTACCTGGCACACACACACAAGATTCCTGAAGCTTGTCAAACCCATCCGTTGGTTACAGGCTTTGGGAAAGCAGGGGTGGTTGGTAGCCATCCCTTCACCCCATGCCGCCTCTGAAAGGTGCTCTCTTGCAGATAGTAACTTTGTGCTGGGCAACGCCCAGGTGGCAGGGCTCTTCCCTGTGGTCTACTGCTCTGATGGCTTCTGTGACCTCACGGGCTTCTCCCGGGCTGAGGTCATGCAGCGGGGCTGTGCCTGCTCCTTCCTCTATGGGCCAGACACCAGTGAGCTCGTCCGACAACAGATCCGCAAGGCCCTGGACGAGCACAAGGAGTTCAAGGCTGAACTGATTCTGTACCGGAAGAGCGGTGAGGAGCCACCTTGCCAGCTCACCCACAGTCTCACCCCGCTGGGGACCTGCCATGTCCACAGCCTTCCTCTTTCCCTTGCGGTCTTTCCTTGCACCCATCTGCCCTTCTCTCCCTTTTCTCTACCCCAACCCCTTGTCCTGGGCTCCTCACTACTCTTCTCACACTAGCTTCAACTCCCCTCATTGCCAAGTTTGGGTTTCCCACATCCAGCGGAAAAGCATCCCTGCCTTAGCAGGACGCATCTTGACAGTCACGTCTGCTCTCGCTCGCTCCCCTCTGCATCCAACCCTTGGCTATAGGGACCCAGACTGCTGCTCCCTCCCACAAGAAGCCCTGTTCCTGCTTGTGTCTTACGGCGAATGTCAGTGGAGCAGGGCCTCTTTCACCTTGGGCAGGGCTGAGCATGGGAGGTGGACTGAGTCTGTCTTTGTGCCCAGGGCTCCCATTCTGGTGTCTCCTGGATGTGATACCCATAAAGAATGAGAAAGGGGAGGTGGCCCTCTTCCTGGTCTCTCACAAGGACATCAGTGACACCAAGAATCGAGGGGGTCCCGACAACTGGAAGGAGAGAGGTGGGTGTGTCCATGGGCACTGCTTTGGTGGCTGTGGCTGGGTGTTGGGTGCCTCGGGCCTGGGGAAGACTTTGGCACCCAGATTGGGCTCGCAGGTCTCCTCCCCTCTTGTGCCTGTCTTCTGACTGGCTGAGAGGACTGTGCTGCTCCCATCTCTGTATGCCCAGGGACAGGACTCTTTTTCCAGATAGGTCATTTGAGACAAAGGTGAACTTCTCAAGTTAATTTTACTAAGAAACTGAAAGCAAACACATTCCACCGGAGCCGGTGCAACGTCCCTTCCCACCACCCGATAGGTTGAGCACAGGTGCACCTGGTTCCTTTTCCCTGCCACACACCTGACTGGGAAGCCCCAGCCAAAGTTCTCTTTGACTTCTTGGGTCTTTCCTTTCTTACACCCTCCAAGGCTGGGGCACGCCTTTGGGCAAGGCAGAGCTGACATCAGGTGCTGCTGCAAGGCCCCTTTGCCATCTGGGAATGCTAGGGGTACCCTCCGTTCTTGCCCCCACCTCAGGCCTGGGTCTGCTTCCCTGTGATCTCTCCAGTGTCACCCTCTGATCCCTGCACCTGGATCCTGGGCCCCTCTGAGCTCCCGTATCCCTCTGCCAATAGCCTTTACTGGCACTGCCTCCCTTCCCTGTGCCCCTTGTCCAAATGCCATCACTGCAACTTTTCCCTACAAACATCCCCTTCTCCCTTGCCTAGGCCAAACCTTCTCCTGAAAGTAGGCTCTCGGAGTATTGTCCATAAGCACCCCTAGGACGCTTCCTTCCTGGAGTTGGCGAGTGACCCCAGGAGGAATCCTGAGCCCCAACTCTGAACAGACAAAATAGTCAATGAGCTGTACCAGTTCATGGCCCAGCAACTGATGCCTTCCTCCCAGGACCCTGTGTTGGTGTATGTGCACACACGCGTGCACACACACACGCACACGCACCCATCTTCGCGAGTCCCTTCTCTTTTGCAGGTGGTGGCCGGCGCCGATATGGCCGGGCAAGATCCAAAGGCTTTAACGCCAACCGGCGGCGGAGCCGGGCTGTGCTCTACCACCTGTCTGGGCACTTGCAGAAGCAGCCCAAGGGCAAGCACAAGCTCAATAAGGTGGATTGAGAAGTAGGGCGTGTGTTGGGGCTGGGGACAAGGTAGAGGCAGGTGGCGGAGAGGGGAACTAAGCCCACCACAGACAATGTCCAAGGAGCCACCACCAGGCCTCACCAGCACTTTGGGGGTTGGGACTGAGGGAAGGAATCTCATGTTTGATCCATCAAAGGCATAGAAGGGTCTTGGCCTTGGTTTAATCCTAACTCTTGCTCAAGTGCTCAGCTAAGTCATTTGATCTCCCTGACCCTCAGTTTTATTATCTATAAAGTGGGGACCTCTGTGCCTATATCAGCTAGTGAGAGTATAGGGAGAGAGAGGAGGTGAACGTCTGTGCTGGATGCTGTCCAAACTCACCCTTTGCTGATGCTGTTTGCTCCCCACCTGGCCTGGCCCTGCCTCACTCAGGGAGTGTTTGGAGAGAAGCCGAACTTGCCTGAGTATAAAGTTGCTGCTATCCGGAAATCACCCTTCATCCTGCTGCACTGTGGGGCGCTGAGAGCCACCTGGGATGGCTTCATCCTGCTCGCCACACTCTATGTGGCCGTCACCGTGCCCTACAGCGTGTGTGTGAGCACAGCCCGGGAGCCCAGCACTGCCCGTGGCCCACCTAGCATCTGTGACCTGGCCGTGGAAGTCCTCTTCATCCTTGGTATGTGCGTCTGTGCCCTCTGCTCTGCCCGGGCCCCTCACCCTCAGGCCTCAATGAGGATTGTCTGCATGGCTGCCAGTGCCCCCCTTTCTCTCCCTGTTTGTCCCATTTTTGACCCATAAGCTTTGAAATCAGACTCAGGTGCCAAATGTGTTTCTACTCTGTGTTATAGGACCTTGCACCAGTCACAGCCACTCCAAGCCTCAGTTTCTCCTTCCATGAAACAGGCATAACAGTGTGTGCCTGCTAAAATTACCATGACAGCTAGGTCAGGCAATGTATGGAAGGGGCCTGGGACCCCACTACGTACTGAGCTGGTGCCCATTAATAAAGAGTAGCTTCGCACCTCACACTGACTCCCGCCCGGATTCCCCGCAGATATCGTCCTGAATTTCCGCACCACCTTCGTGTCCAAATCTGGCCAGGTAGTGTTTGCCCCAAAGTCCATTTGCCTCCACTACGTCACCACCTGGTTCCTGCTGGATGTCATCGCGGCGCTGCCCTTTGACCTGCTACATGCCTTCAAGGTCAACGTGGTCAGTGTGGCTGGGCTGGGTGGGTGGTGGCCTTTGGGCTCGTACTGGCAGAGCCTGCCTGAGGTGACCTCCCTGCCCCATCTCAGTACTTCGGGGCCCACCTGCTGAAAACCGTAAGGCTGCTGCGCCTGCTGCGCCTGCTGCCGCGGCTGGACCGGTACTCACAGTACAGCGCCGTGGTGCTGACCCTGCTCATGGCTGTGTTTGCCCTGCTTGCCCACTGGGTGGCCTGCGTCTGGTTCTACATAGGCCAGCAGGAGATCGAGAGCAGCGAATCGGAGTTGCCAGAGATTGGTACGGGAGGCTGGGTCTGTGGGGGAAGGAGGTGTGGGGGCCAGAGGAGTGGCGCCAGGCGGCGTGGGATGTGCAGGCCTGTGTGTGCGTGCATCAGAAAAGGGCTGGGCAGGGGCAGGCCTGCTCTCCACACAGGACAGTGCGACGCCTTCGGAGTCTCCGTTACCCATCATGTCTTCCTAGTGGCCAAATTTTTGTACCATTCTTTAAGCCCTTGGAGCCACTGCCCTCACAGCTTCCTCTCATGCCACACTCTCTAAAGCTTGTCCGCACCACCTCAGGTCCCCGGGCCTTGCCCCACTCTTGTCACCTGCACTGCCTCTCACGACGGAGTCCAGGCTCTCCCTGAGCCTACATTCAGCCTTGTCTGCCTTCCCTGCTGCTTCGCTCTCCTTCATTTCACCTCTGCTGCTGCAGCTCCTCCCCTGGCTCATCACCCACTCAGTCTTACTCTTGCTGGAGGTTTCAGCCACCACCTCTCCACCTAAAATGTTGCCTCAAGGGTCGCAGTGCCCCGTGTGGGGCAAAACCCTGTCCTCCGTGAAGTCCCTGTAGCTCCTGACCCTGCCGGCCACATCCTCCTGCTCTGTGAGGTGTAGCCCTTAGAAGCCCTTCTGAGTTCCAGGGGCTCCACACACGCTTTCCTCACATCTCTCCTCCTGCCTCACTTCCTTGTCCCTTGGCCATTCCACTGATGCCACTCAAGGTCACCACTTCCGTCCCTTCCCTTATTGGATCCGTTCATTTCCATCATTTCTAGCTTTCAGTGCCCCTCAGGTCAGAAACGGAGCATGCCTCTTCCTCTCCCACCCTGCAGCCCTCGGTCAGCTTTGCAGTAACTGACCTTTGACATGTTTGCAGCTGCTCAGGTGGCCTCCCATTCAGTCTGTTCCTTGGGTGGGTCAGCAGGAGTCCAGGTCAGTCTTAGAAACCTGCTCTCATCAGTTCCCCGGGGATGCTGAGGCTCCTGAGAGCCCTGTCTCCCTCACAAGTGCAGGAGCGGCTGCTCTGTGCCCAGAGGGCCCACTTGGTTACTCCCAGAGCACTCTAGTTGCTGGGCCCATGGAAACCAGGACACTCCGACAGCCGGCTCTTTGGTGCCTCCCCATCCCGGGGGAGCCTGTGGTGAAGGCTGCTCTCAGGTCAGCAAGCGCTGCTCTGACCCTGTCTCTGACCTTAAAAGCGGCCCAGACAGCAAATCCCCAGGTCAGCCCCCAGCCTCTGCAGTAGGCCCAGGGCACTCAAGATCTTGCATTCGTGAGGCTCCTCTGTTCTAGACACCTCGTAGGAATTGCTGATCTGCTGTCAGGAATATTTCTGAGCTGGATGTGATGGTACATGCCAATAATGCCAGCACTTCGGGAGACTGAGGCGGGAGGGTCAGAAGCTCAAGCACAGCCTGCTCGGTTTAGTGACTTACAGAGACTGTCTCAAAAAAGGGCCAGGAATGTAGCTCAGTGCAGAGGCCTTGGTTTCAGTCCCCAGGACCATACACACATAAAGAGAAGGTTTCTGGTCCCGGAGAGGCTCTGGGTCCTCCCGTGATGAACATGGGAGTCCAGGGACCAGCTGACTACTGGATTCTATTATGTATGACCCCTAAAT